TCACATAGCACATCTCACAGTCAACCCTTGTGAGCCACGGTGTAGCGTATTTATGACACTGTGTTTACTTTTGGGGAGTCTGGAGTACTGAAACATTGCTGTGCAGCACTCATGTGAAGATTAGCAGATAGTTAATATAGGTGATCCTATAAAATACTGCACAGCAAACATTTTATTTCAATATCTTATGTTTTCCATTAATGCCATTTTGTTTCTTTCTTTTTATTTTCACTTGTGTAGTTTCAGGGGAAGTTCACAATGTCTGTATTTACACATTGTGTATAGATTGTCCCTTTTTGTAAAACTCAATAAACTAACTTGGGGGGGAAATAATTAAATAAATATCTTGTCATGCATTAGCTATCCATCTACCTTCAATCCAGGTCATGGGGGTATATATTATGTTTATGTAATATTGCTTAACGGCATGGCCACCCACAGCTAGCCTTTAGCGGCCTTGCTCTTTACTGTAGCTGGGTGACTCCTGTATGATATGCCCTCGGGCCCTCGCTGCCAGCCTCTCCAAACACCGATCCCGGTCTCTGTCCTGACCTGGGTGGCCTTCCCCAGGCCTGGGAGCGCTCGACTGGCCTATTAATACAGCCAATGTGACAGAACTGTGCATCTGGATCGATTGTTGCGAGGACAGGTTTTACTGCAGCAGCCGAAGCTGGGATCATTGTGCATGAGGTTTGCATGCCCCGGGGCGTGAATCTGCCCGTCGGCGCTTGAACCCCCAGGGATGGCCTCCTCTCCTGTGCCCACCTTTGAAGTTCTCCTTGCTTCCATTGCCCTCTGCTTTTCGACATTCACTTAGTTTTAAATTGGGTCCCATTTATTGTTAATTGTTTTGCTTCTGTCTGCAATGCATTGCCACACTGTGTTAGGAATGGCATCATATAAAGCTAAACCAAACTGATCATCATGTGTTGGAACAGACTGGATATTGATGGGCTTTGCAGTGCAGACAAATATCATTATCTACACATAAATGGAAACGTAATTTATGAAATACTACGCTTTATTTGCGGTTAATAAAAGCAAAAAGCACACATGTTCCTGTTTCCTCAGAACCATTTCTCCTCCCTGGAATAGTATTGTAGTCATGATTACAAGGGCACTTAAACATCCCTGATAATATTTTATGAAACCGCTAATCAATTCTGGTCCCGAATGATCTGGTAGATGTACCAATTTGTCTCTAATGGCTGGAGCCTTGAATGTCACGCGCTCGGGACTAATAACAGGTGAAAGAGAGAAATATTCTCTCTTTGGTGAGGCGGCAATGTTCCATCACTGGCCAGATGCGACAGACAGTCCCTGTGATCATACATCCAAGTTTGCAGCAAAGGACAGTGGGAAGGTTGTAAACATATTCATTTTTTTGTTTATGGGATAAATATGAGCGAGCGGGGAGATGCTGTCGATCGTTATTGATCATTCCTCTGTGACTGAACCTGCTGCTCATTTCCGTTGGCTGGGTTTTAAAATCCCTGTCTTGTTCAAATAGTATTAAGAAGTCATAGAAATCTTGATATAATCACAGAAGAAGTCCCTTAAGTTCATATAGATCTGTGTGCTCGACCCACAGAACCAGAGGAGTGGAGAGGCAGATTCCGACTTTGTTTTGCGGATAATTAACCCACTGATGTAGGTGCCGCTCTCATTGGACGCCCTCCGCTTCAGTGTGGGAAATGGACCCTCCCCTGGACCTACATCAACTTTGAGACATCCTTCTTCACTGATGATGCTAATTTGTTTCCTTTGTACCAGCGAGTTAAGAATGCCCAATTCAGGGATATTCTCGCTTCCTGACTGACCAGAGGCCTACGGTGATGCCAGTAACTGAGGGACATTCTCGCTTCCTGACTGGCCAGAGGCCTACGGTGATGCCAGTAACTGAGGGACATTCTCGCTTCCTGACTGGCCAGAGGCCTACGGTGATGCCAGTAACTGAGGGACATTCTCGCTTCCTGACTGGCCAGAGGCCTACGGTGATGCCAGTAACTGAGGGACATTCTCGCTTCCTGACTGGCCAGAGGCCTACGGTGATGCCAGTAACTGCAATAAACAACAGGCCTCCTGAAGCCGGGGCTTAATTCTCAAGGTCAACCTTCTGGAAGGTGATAATATTCCTGCAAGTAAACGAGCACGTGATCTGGACCAGAACCAAGATGACCACTGCACCGAAACAACTGACCGCTGGTGTTGGAGAAATCATGGAATGAAATCCAACTGGAATTTCTAGAATGTTCTGAGATGGGAAGCAAACCATGACACTTTGTAAAATTAACGAAAGGTAAAGATAGTTTGCATTCCTGAACAGGATATAAGACATCTCCTCGGCTTCACATTTTTGAATTAGATCAATTTTAATGTCTGGTTTCCATAGATACAATATCCTATTAGTTATACAGAGCTAAACATGAATGCACCATTATGGTGCCAGTGATGGCAGTGTTGAGGTCAAAGGTTACACCCATACCTATGAAGCAGACGGGGCACTTGAAGGTGCCCCCCATGCCCTCGAAGCTGTGCTCGATCAGGTGGCACTGCAGTTTGGCGGGTGAGTCGAATGTCTGGTTGCAGAGCTTGCACTCGTGATTCAGGCCCTCCTCTGCAAGACAAGGGGGGGGGGGGGGGGGACAGGTTTGAGAACACGATTGGCTGGATGACAGAACAGGGTTTCTCTACAAGAAAGACAGTGTCCTGCGATTGTAAGGATGACGCTTGCAGGACCGACCAAGTTCAGATCCACACGGCAGAGAGCATGAAAAGCGAGGCTGCCCTGCAGGCCCCCCCGTCCCCACAACCAACAAAGCTTAACAAGGTCCACATGCCTGAAGAACCAATCAAAGTCTGTCCTCAACCCCAGGGGGGATGACATCACACTGTTTGTTTTGATAAGCGCCGCTATTCTCGCTCTAGTGGGACTATAACTAGGTTTTTGCAGAACACTGATGTAACTTGTTAGACTAGAAAGAATCCTTAAAATAATATATTCAGTGGAGTACAATTAAAGGGGAGGCCTTCCAGCCAGGAAAAACAAACCCGAAATTAAGCCCCCCCAACCCTCCATGGCCTTAATTCACTTTGGAGAATAAGGATGAGTGTATACTTTGTTCAGTACCTCAAACACAATTCCATAAATGCTTGTGAGGTGACATGGGAAGGCGCTGTGCAAATGCCTTCCGGTATGTCATGCCCAAGGCCTAAGTTTGGCATTGCCAGGTCCAGCTTAGACTTGCTATAAATGATGTGTGTTTATACTTGGGCTATGGGTTAGCTTCCACCGCACCACCAGGACAGGAAAGCCATCATCGCATCCTCAGATACTGCTGAACACAGACACGCAGCAAGCCAGCTAGGGTTTCCTGAACGTTATCGACGTTTTCCACTTGCATAATGCATCTGGACAGCATGTGCATTCCCCGCAAACATGCCGAACCACAGTAATGCAAATAACAAGCTAAATAAAATGCTACGTTCCACTACTGGCTCGTAATGCATTTGGTCTTCCTGTGATGAACAACCTGTTGTTGTTGTCCCAGCTTATAGAAACTTTTTTATTTTTTATGTTTTTTATGTTTCTGAATGCTACATTTTTTTTCAATAGCTTCCTCAGTGATAAGACTTTGACTGATTCTTAAATATTCAGCCCTGGCCATGAACCCTATTAAAACAAGTACTCCGAGAGCTACTTAGGAGTGTGAAATTATCTCGGACGCTTTTAATTCGTTCCCCTGCTGTGCAAATGTCAGACAAAAGAAGTTCAATATGAAAGTGGCTGCTTGTGAAAAGCACAGATATCTATTTCAGTGTGCAAAGCTACGCTGTTTCAGCCTGTCCGACAGAAACGTAATATCAAAGTTCCCAGGAAACTGCGAGTCTCTCTCACTCTCTTAGTGCATTATACAACACGTCTTGGTTTTTCGAAACAAAGGATTATCATTCCTATGGTATTGTTAGAAAAAGCAAATAAACGGTCACAGAAAACTAATGGAAGGCGGCACAAAAGCATTTCTGGGATGGCACTGGCTAAAGGTACCGGCACAGGTTATAAGCGCGAGTTCTGTACATGCGAATTTTAAAAGACGCATTTGAATTTAGGTCACGTGCTCACGTCCCGTCGCAGCTACGATGGCAGCCGCCTGGCGCAAACGCAGTGTGTTGACACATCGGGATTGTCATGCTGTCCAAGGCACCTCCTTCTCTCCTGCCGGCTCCCCCAGCTCCCGCTCGCTCCGTACCCTACTGTGACACACTCCTGCTATGCCCCTGCTGGCATTTTCTGCAAACAATCCTTAATTTATCAAGCCTGGCAGTTGGCAGCCATGGGGCGAGACTCCAGGGCGGGTTGTCTCGCTTGTGAAGACGCCAAGAGAATCCCTGGCATAAGCAGACCCCCCCTCCCCCCACCTCCCCTACCCTCCGCACCCCCACCCGCCCCCAACCCTTTCAAACAGACAAAAACAGCAGAGTTGGCCCCTCAGCTAGCCTGGGGTTCCTGGCGGAGAATGAAGGCGCAAAAAGGAATAAAATACAACACCGATTGCAGTGCAGCGCGCTTCACTTTTGATCTACCGCCTGTGGCAAAAAAGAGAGCTGGAAATGACGTTTGCAGCTTTAAAAATCCCCCGCTGCCCAGGCCAGCTCGTACCATGCTCAGCGAGAGCAGGCCTGGAGACCCGCAAGAGGCCAGGAGGTCATGCAAGCAGCGTAAATTAGCTGTCAATAATTTAATGAGAGAGAATGGTTACCTCTGCCTTTCCCCCTTCGTTTTAATTGCCATCTTCAGCGAAATGATGAAATATTTGTAAGGCTGCAGTGTGGTATTGTAATGATGCTTTGGGCACGTTTAATTTTTAATGCCTGCATTTCGTGGAAGAGTTTGACTGCTCTGTCAGAAAAAGCAAAAAAAAAGTTCAGCCAGACAACTAATAAAAATTTAAATATGATATGAATTGAGAAAAGTGGCCAGGAAAGGACACTAAGTAAATACATTTTGTCAAGCGATGAGCTGTTTACATTTGTTCCATCAATCTTGTGCATGAAGACCAGAAGCTTCCATCTGACATGTTAACTTTTAACTGTTTCCGTTTCTGTCAGATGACGTGGATGAGTGAATACCGCCTCTTTGATAGCACAACACAGAAAATTAATATTTCAAACACCAAATATGCAGGGTGCACAGTTACCATGACACTTTGCAGTTTCCATCTGTCTGCTCTGTTGTTGTTTAGCTACACGATTCGCTGTGTCTCAGCACAGACACTGAGAGCTAACGTCAATGTCTGGGCTTAACATGCAAGACTGAGGACTATTCTGTTTTCCTGCCCCTGGAGCTTAAGTTCTCATGGCCGATTGGCTCCCAGCAGGTAAACAGGGAACACTTTCCTTAACTCATGACTATATCCTTTTAATGTAAAACACATGTGCAAAGTTGGTAATTACTGATTAATGTTGCTTAACAGTAGTTAACGCACTTTTCTCTTTCTGAAAGGAAAATATTGCCTGAGTTTTAAGCATAACCATGATTGTGTTCACACTGTCCCTCCAGGTTTTTTTTTTAACATCTTGAAATCCACAGCCATGCATACTGGGAGACCACTGGATGATTTACCGTTAACAGCCGCCAGTATTCACGAGGCGCTGGACGAACCCCTTACGCTGCCTTCCAGTGGTCCAAGCCCACTGGTCTCAGACATGCTACATGTGTGGAGGTGCGGAAAGGTGAGCAGGGTGTTCTGTGAAGGTAACAGACTCCAGACTTGATGCGACGTAGTGCTCCATTGAAGAAGCAGGCCTGCCAATCGGCGACACCTTGCACCCTGTGCGATTCCTGCAAGTAAAAATGGATGTTCTGCTGCCTTGCTAACTGGCTAGCGACCGCAGGTCATCCCCTGTGCTGTGTAAGAGCCAGGAGCCCAGCGGAAGACCTCAGGGCCGGACCTCCAGCGGGCCAACGCCCGTCTGGTGTATGCCGGTACCTGACGCAGAACAGGCAGCTACATAAAAATCACTGTGGTGGGTATTTCCCAGTCTGTCTGTATGCATGTTGATTAAAATAAACAAATAACTGAATAAATAAGTCAAAGGATGCTGTAAGGACAGGCCCGGCAATGGAAACGGATGCCAGTGCAGAACAGTGAGCCACACGCAGTCACTGTATGCTGGGTGTGCCTGTCAGCGAGTGAGGGGGCCTCAGCCGTGACACCCCCCTCCCCCCACTCCAGCCTGCTTCCACTGCCCGGCATCGCCCGCGTAGCCAGTCGGCCGGGCCCTGGAACCATCTGTGACCCATCAAAGCAGAGAGGCTCCAGGTGGACTGCTAATGGAATGGACTATTGCATAAATGTAAACCAAGCTATAACTTCCCCCCTACGGACCCCGGCTCCACCAGCACCTACTGAAGGCAGGAAGCAGGCCACAACATGCTTATTTATGTTTTTTTTTATTCCAATTCATACAATTTTTAACTTTTCATAACTGAGCTGCTCTCAAACAGATAAATAGTCAGATTTGAAGTCAAATCACATTCGTAAAAATCTTATTTGAGAAACACTTTAACAAAATAATAATTTAGCATGGAGCTCCCCAATGTAGGGGGGACAGACATATCAGGTGACTAATGAAGCCGTTTGTGACTAGTGATGCTGCTGCTCCCTTACCATTGCCATACGCCTGGTGACACAGCCTTTACCATGTAATTAACTGTCACTGTAAAACAGAACGGGAAAAGAAACATTTTCCGCTGGCTAGAATTAACTCAGCATGCGGATAAATAGCATACAGATCAGCGTCGAGCGGGACGGGGAGGTTATGGTTGCGCAGGGATGGGGTGGGTCTTTGACATGGGGTCTGGCTCAGCTCTTTAAAAGGCCCAAACTAAAGGCTTTGTTGGGAGTCTGCCTCCACACGTGCGTCTTGCAATCGGAATAAAACGGCTCCATTAATTTTCCAAGCATTGAGTTTGAAGCAAACCCCCCCCCCCCGGCCCTGCCGTGAAAGATGAAACCACAGTTGCGTGCCTTTTCCCCGCCGCCTGACCCCTACCCCCAGACGGAGCAGTAAACACGATTCCTTTTGCTATAATTATCGTTCTCTCACAGGGCTGGTGCGTTAAGTTTCACTCGCTGGAGATTTACATACCCACCGCTGTATCCATATGTGCTGCCCTGGCCTGATCCCCACACACGTAAACCTCCCTATTAGAGGCCTTGACTGCTTAATTATGCAGATTTGCTCCGTACCTGCCTGTCTGTAAAATTACTTTGCCTAACCTATTTTTTCCCCGGTGTGAATGTGAGTGTGTGTGTGTGATCACACCATGCAGGTCACCCTAATGAAACAGCAGGGCTGAGAAGGGGGTGGACGTTAATGGAGAGGCGGCTTGCGCCGTTGATCTGTCCTCAGCTGACTGCAGCGGGCCTCGGAGGTGAAGCCGAACATCTCCTTTGGTGCCTCCCAGCAGCCCCGGTAGTGAGTGAGCTCACTTCCTGACACTGTCCAATCTGCGCGTCTGTGGGGGAGCTCAGCCTAGCTCGCAGCAGTCTGTGATATCTAGTTATGGGACGAGAGGGGCCAACACACACATAACCCTCCTACGCCCCCCAC